CTCTCTCTCTCTCTCTCTCTCTCTCTCCAGTCAGATGATGGCACTGTCCAGGCACAGGGCAGAGTCTGAGGGGGCGGGCGTGTCTGGTTTCTCTTCCCTCCTCCTGTGCAGGAGCCACCCTGCTGGCCGCCGGGATCCAGGTGGCTGCCGGGTTCCTTGAAGTCTTTCCTTCTTGGTGCTGCTGTCCGGGTGGGTTTGGGGACATCTACCTCTCCTCAGTCACCTGCTCACACATCGGCCAAGTCAAAGCACTGGGGGCGGCCCGGCCCCATGACCGAGGCCGGCGGGGCCTCCGAGAGCAGGAGGCCACTCCTGCCGGGCGCTTCCCTCCCAGGGCTGGGCCCTCCGCCACCCAGACCCGGTGCTTTCTTTCTCTCAGCTGAGCTGCTGCGCGTGGGGACAGTTCCACCCCGGGTCTGCCACCCCGGTCACAGCCACAGTCCGTTTCTCAATGCAAGAGGTAGAAAGGGGCGGTGTCTGGCCCTTGTCTGTCAACGGCCTCATCTCTCCGGGGCTGGGCCAGCGCCCTGGGGAGGACCCTGGACCTTTCGGCTGATGTTACGCATCTCTGGACATCCAACTCCACTTTCCCACCGGCCCGCGGCCCCAGCTAACGGGAGCCGGGGGTGGTGGCGGTCTTCCTTGCGGGGCAGCACTGCCCCTGCCACGAGCCCATCAGTGATCACGGACACCTCTGCTGGGCACAGGCCCCGTCTGTGCTCGCAACCTGCAGTTTCTCACGCGGCCGGGTCCCAGCTGTAACGCCGACGTGGGGTGTCAGGGACGTGGGCCTGCAGGATGAATGAGGTCGGACTTTCTCAGCCCTGCGTTGGAATTCTGGGCCCTTCCGGTTACAACAGGAGAAGATGAGGGGGAAGCTTTGCCTTTCTGGGGTGTCTTAGAGGACCGAGAGCCAGAGTCCGGGCTGAGGTGCCGCGGGCTATGGCTGTGCTTTCCAGGGGGACCCCACCACTGCGAGTGTCGCCAGCGCTGACCAAGGTGCTGACTCCCCCTTTTCCTTCCTCTGGCCACGCCCTCACCTCCAGCACATCAGGCCCAATCATGGGAGCAGAGTGTGTCGCTGGCCACTGGGTGGCAGCTGTGCGGGGCGAGGGAAGGACACAGGCCACCCTCTCCTCTCCGAGTGGCCGTGGCCGTGGGCTCATTTCTCTTCCCAAGAGCGCTTCCTTCTGTGACAGTGTCTTTGAGGGCCAGCGGCCTTCCTACCCGCTGGGAGCTGTTTCAGTACCTCCTGCAAGGACTGTGATGGGAATTGCCAGAATGCAGCGCCTCTGTCCCTGGGTGGATGGAGGGATGGTGTCTCCGGTAGACATTCAGGTGCTGGTGGGGGGGTGGGGGGACCTGTGTGAGGGTGTGCACGATGGGGTGCAGCCATTTCTAAGGACCAAATGTGCTATGTCCTCTGTCCCTGAGCGATGGCCACGGGCCCTCTCCAGCTTCCTAGGGCAGTGGTCGGCAAACTGCGGCCCCTTGAGTGTGGCTCTTCCACAAAATACCACGTGCGGGCGCACCCGTACAATGCGATTAAAACTTTGTGGCCACACTCAAGGGGCCAAAGAGCCGCATGTGGCTCACGAGCCACGCTTTGCCGACCACGGTCCTAGGACTTTCACGCTCCACCGTGCGGGAGAGCAACTGTCTTCCAACCTTCCCCGCTCACGGCCTGGCAGCCTTGCCGTGGAAGGAGCTCAGACAAAGACCGGTTCCCAGGTCTCATCGTGGGCCCGGCCCTCCATTCTGCATCTCCACTGGACGCCTCAGCTGTGTCAGGCTCGGGATTCCGTGGGCCAGGAAAAGGGTCAGATGCTGTGAGAAGGAGCTTGTCGAGCACGTGGGGGACCCGCCGCCGCCTGGTTTGGGGAAAGAAAATGAGCCGGAAGGAGAAGGGAGCCCCGCGTCTCGACAACACTGGTGCGCTTGGGGGCAGGAGTGGGGTCCTGAGGGAGGCTCGTCGTGTTGGCCCTGCCCAGCCTGTCCCCCTGGATCTCTTCTTGAGGGGGCGGAGGGGGGGCATGTGAGGGGCCTTTTGAGTCTACTTTCT